CAGGTACCGCTACTCAGGCCTATCCTCTTTGAGGAGGCAACTCCTCTAGAGACTTCGAGGTACATCTGTCGTGTCCGCAGACTGAGAAGTCCCTTTCTATTCTTGCTTTTAGTATTTAGCCCTTCTGTACTTTTCTGTTCTTATTAGATATTACGGAGTTAGAGTTATGCAGTATTGATCTTAGCTTGTGATTCGTGGGTTTCCGGGTCTTGGATTTATGTTTTGGTATTGAGAGTTAAACATGGTGTATGTCGAGCGGCACATTTAAACACTGTTACTGCTTTATTTCTGTTTTAAATTATTTTACTTCCACAAGTTTTGGTTATCTTCCGCAAGTTTAGGCTTACATAGTCGTAGAGACTAGGTGCCATCACGATGGTTCACCGAGGGCGAACTGGGGTCGTGACAGTTTCTGACTCCTAGGCATTTTTCCCTTAGGCTCTTTTCTGGCCAAAACTATAGTGACCAATGTTAGGGTCTGACATCTGAACTATCATTACCCAACTTGTGGCTCCAATTCCAAGAATTAAATGAAGTTGTTCTAGGAGGAAAAACATATACGAATATACTACCATGCACAAACTTATCCTTCAAAGTACACCATCGTATGATAAATCACTTCCTGTGCCATCCGGTGAGTTTTGGTCTTAATCCAGACCTAGAATATGTGAAGGTTTCGCTATAATCACTCTTACTTACATTTCCTTTTAGCACCCATAGGCATCATTGTATATTCTCCAGTCACCAGAATTTTGATACACTGAAAATTAGATATTTGGTAAATATATAACTGAATATTGGCGCACTGAATTACAATAAACTTGCTAGCTGAAAGGCCGCTAACTGGTAATTGAGATAAACTGATACCCATAAAACATGATAACTGCTTTTGTACTTTCTGATAAGGTTATGCTCTAATCTGTACTGCTATCTGTTGTATCCCACTTTTAACATCCTCTCAAGTTTCATTTGTTACCAACCTATACCCCGTAATTATACCCCAATGGGAAATCATCATCTCTAGAAGCATGGGTTTTTCTTGTCCGTCGTTGGGGCATTCAATGCATCTAGAATTCTAAAGGAAGAGAGATTTCCTATTGCTCTAAGTTTCATGGCACGATCTAGAGTAGAAAGAAGTGAGACAATCCTGGATGTCTTGGTATTTAACCATTTATGTGAGTGGCCGGCACACACATATAAAGGAAACTCCACTGAACACGAATTCATAGACTCCCTAGGACTCTTGAACCTAATGCTCAGAAACCAAGCTTTGTCACGCCCCGAACCTAGGCCTGGACGTAACACGACACTCGATGCTTGACTACATGTGACCAAGCAAACCAACTGGATGGCTGAATCAACATGTGATATCATAACATACTAAGTGCGAAAGATAAACTAACACATGCTGATATACTGAAAGTTTAAATAATATAAATTAAAGTGCGGAAATACTAATACAATTCTGAAACACATTTATAGCCAATATAGCTTAATATGAAAAGCCTGCGACTCTATCTAGCTGTTACTTTAGTCTATGAAGCCTTTAATAAAGTACTGAAAACACTGACTGTCTGAAAATACTGAAGACTGTAAGGTAATGATAATGCCCCGAAAGAACTGGGATTACCAAATAGCTGGTACGATAATCCTAACGCTCTGAATCATCAACTTGAAAATCATTACCTGCATCGTGAGATGCAGGCCCCGGGCAAAAAGGGACGTCAGTACACTTGAATTGCACTGGTATGTAAAGCAACTGAAAGAAAGAATTATAAATGCTGAAACTGAAACTAAGCTGATAATTGAGAATTAATAATTGATAACTGAAATGATATTTATTGAAACTGAAACTGAAATGATAACTGATAACTGAAATAATAACCGGTAACTGAAATGATAACTGATAACTGAAATGATAACTGATAATTGAATTGAACAAAGGAAGTAAGGATATGAATACTCCCTCTTCTGAATGATGAACAACCTGTTTATCTGAATAAGTTATAGCCTCGGACCTAATATATATGTGCACAAGCTACGGCCTCAAGCCCAAGTATACGTATACATAAAATGACTTCCAAAGTCTATCTCCGTGCCCCTATAGGCCTGACCGCGGTCCCGAATGCGGTAGATAGCAGGAACACTGCCTCACGACCGCAGTCGCGGTCCGGGCTCGGTGGTTACGCACTATTTTGTAAAACGCTCATAACGTTCTATACAGAGATCCGTTAGGGCTCCATAATAAATTGTTAGAAAGATATTTTAAAGGCCTATAATTTGTATGTTTTTAGTTTTCCCAAATTCCTTATACATTTTCACTAATCCCTGCTGGAAGACGGACCTTCTGCAACTTAGTCGATTTTGTCGAATCTTATACACCTCACTTTCCATCTTGATTTTGAACTAACTATTTTCACCCAAACTCATCCCGATAAGACTTCATATGTCTAAAATATCTAATTAATACTCATTTAACACATCCACACCTAGTCCAAATGTACAGGGTGTTACACATCTCCTCCTGAACGATGGCACAAGTGCCATGTTCCTTCTTGTAGACCCTGGCTAAACCTATTAAAAAGCATAAGAATTGAGTGCTTCAGCACAAGCCAATATAAATATGATAACGACACAAATCCCCACGGTGTAGGGGAGAACCTACTTGACCAAGTCAGCGAGACGTTCTGTCAAAAGAGGATGACGACTAGTGGTTGCAGGAGAAGAAGGATTACTCAACAAATTTGGATTGAACAAAGTACTTAAAAGGATAAAATCAAAAAATATGAACACTTACGTGTATGGTTCCAGGCTTCAGGAAAACTATTAACATTATCCACAACGGCCTCAGTCTTGACAAAGAAGTAGTCAAGCCAGAATTGCCGACTATCTTTATCGTCCATCTTCATTACCAAGAATTTTTCCCCACTATGTAGAAACTTCAAAACCGTCCCTCAATAGAAGCTAGACGTGAACGACTGCACCAAGTGTCACACCGTGACCTCGACCCTGGAGAGTTTGACAAAATTTAATAGCATCTTGATAACCTTGTAAATATAAGGGGCGAGCTGAGTAGGGCAACTGTTGTAATGGTGACAAAACTTCTCCACCAGTGGGAGGAGGGAGAATGAGTAGCGGATAGCGAACAGGTAGGCATAGAGAGCGCAATACCTAGGACGGTGAACATGTGTTTAATCCTCTCCGGCGGGGACTAATTCTACATGGTTGGGAAGGCCAAACATGGCTTTGAATTTAGCCAAGCGCCTAGATATCATTGACGATTGAAATTTCCCAGTCATCATATCTGGCGACCGTTGAAAATCGGATCAAGCATCAGGGTTGCAGGGGATGATCACCTCCACTGAAGGAAGAGCTTCATCTTCTACGGCAACGTCGTCATCCTCCCCGTGAACAGGGAATACAATAGCCAAGGGAATGGCGTGGTTCTCCTCATCAACATTAGAAGGAAAATTAGACATAGCTATGAAATTTATAGGAAGCCGAGATATGTAATATGAGAGTATGAAAGGAAGTTAAAGGTCAGAAGGCAATGAAGATTCAAGAAAAGGAACTTATGTAGAGCAAAAATGATTCCAAAGAAAGTAAAATTTGAATAGTGATGGAACAATCCCTATTTATAGAGATGAAGGCACCGAATCCAAAACGGTTCATCATAATTGGCACTAGAATAGAAATGGCAGAGCCAATCAAGGGTTGCGCGTGAATCGACGTAACGCGTTAGGAATCGGTATCATCATGACGTCATGACATCATTTCTTTTCTTGGATCAGACGATTCCAGCAAATCACATGGGAAAAATAGGGGTTTGAAATATGCGATACACGGAGAGCCATGTTTCATGTTTGTCACAACGACCATGACCATTGTTATCCGCTCATTGAACTCGCATACGAAGATGACCTCAACAAGCGGAGGGACTAACTGTATGGGCTAAAGATTGTCATAGTTATATGTGACCCTAATCAATATTAAGAAACCTTCGAAGCCAACCACGTGTCATCAATTTGATTTCAACAGAGGATGAAGGCGAGGTCGAATACTCAATGGAGGACGAAGGCAAGGTCGAGGACTCAACAAAGGTCGCATACGAGGTTGAGTACTCCCTTTAGCAGAGTAGTAACGTCTAATTTTAGAAATAAGACATTACAGAGAATATTCTAGTGAATATTCCTCTCATGTGTACTATTAAGATTTTTTTGGCCCATGTGCCCTTATAAATAGAAGGATATGTAGTTATAGGGGGGAGGGGGGATTGTACACTCATTGTAAAACAGAACACATTGACATTCTCTGAAGATTTTTTCTTTATCATACACATACAAAATACACTTTTCTTCTTATCTTTATTTATCTTTTCTGAGGATCCGAGTATTCAAAGTCTTATCATCATCTATCTTTCTTAGAAGGAATATCAAAGAATCTCACCCTTTTTGGCTGACTCACATGTATTTATTTACACAAATACCATTTATTATTATTTACTCTTATTTAGTGTTACCTTCTTTATTTTTGGATCATTGACTATAACATTATTATTGCCATTTGTTGCTACTCAAAAAGTATCTGTGATATCTCGCTACAAAATTGGCTAATCTATATTTTGGATATTAATATTGGCCAAAATTAATTCTATTTTATTAGAAAATCTGATTGTTTAAACTTTGATCTAAATTTTGGGTAACACAATCTTGATATTGTTAACCGCTGTCAGCCTGTCGCTAGCTACATGAAAGTTAAAGTCACGGAAAAAACTCAAAATTGTTATTAACACATCACTTAGAAATAGGAACATCTACAAAAGCTAAGTATTTTGGACATCAACTTAAATTCAATCAGGTCAGGAAACATCAAGAAAAAAAGAATTGAATTGTACCCAACTACCAGCCGTACCTAAGAATACACCTAATGAACTATTTCTAGCCTAGCTTGGATTCGAATCCTTACTCCTTAGTTAGAAAACTCCTCTATATAAGGAGCTCTTTCACAACCTTTATGACACACCAATTAGAACTTGCAAAAATTAAACACTTTCATTGCAACACGTTATCTTCCAATTAAACTAGCTCATTCAAAAATGGCTAAAGTAGCATTGTTGGTGGTGGTGTGCATGGCAGCAGTAGCTGTGATGCTAACGCCCCATGCAGACGCTGACATCTCTTGTGGGCAGGTTGTTGCGAGCTTGTCACCATGCATTAGCTATGTGAGGCAAGGTGGTGCTATTCCAGCACCATGCTGCAGTGGAATTAATTCCCTCAACAACCAAGCTACCAGCACTCCTGATCGACAGACGGCTTGTAACTGTATTAAATCTGCTGCTGCAGGCATCAGTGGCATCAACTTCAGTCTTGCTGGTAGTCTTCCTAGCAAATGTGGTGTCAATCTTCCCTACAAGATTAGCCCTTCCATTGACTGCTCCACGTACGTATCTAATACGCACCTTTAATTTTGTAATAGTACATGAGTGATGTAGGTTAACACCCTCTTCATTTTTACGCTTTCAAAAATAATCCTGGCAGCACATAAAAAATATGAATATTTTTGTCATTTCATTCTTCTCATTTTTCACTAAGATGCCTTCAACTCTCCAAAAAAAAAAAAAAAATTGCCACCATTTTTTTCCTCCATTTCCTCCGTAGGACCTTTTATTTGTCGGTTTTCTCCTACAATTGAGTCTCATAATTCACATGTCAAATAAACAAGTGTACCTCACATAATAACTATTTGGTTCACATGTACAAATTAATATGACTCTCAAGTAATAAAAAGGTAAGATTAACTTAAAGGGCAAATCAAAACCCAAATTTAATTTTAAATGTATACTAGTTTAAAGACTGAGTCTATGATTAAAAAAAAATGAAATAAGATTGAAACTGCTTTGAGCTTCAACTTAGCAGAAATTACACCATTGCGTTTGTTCTTCATTTTTCTCTAATTCTTCTTTGGTTGTCGGTTTAAAAATGTTGCAGGGTGCAGTAAGATGTGTGAGTTAACTTATGGTAGCAGAATGAAGGATATGGTAATAAATAAGATGCGTTCTTGGAGAAGATGGATGAAGCTTTTGTTGCATCTTCTAATGTTTCGATCATTTCTAGTTTAGTAGTACTCATGTATGTTCACTATCTTGCTCTTCAAAAGATTGTACCCTTTCAATTTGTTGACTACTATGATATCCTGCTACTTCTAGTAATTTCTTCTCCTTTTTCCAGTTTTATCTTCTTTAAAATTTCAGACGGTTTTTTTTAAAGCACTTCTCCTGACTACTCATCTTAAAATGGGCTGAGTAATAGCAACTGATTTCTAACGCATAAACTTATTTTGTGTTCTTCTTGAGGATCTTTCGCACCTGTGGCTCACTATAATCTCTGCAAATCAATCTAGACAAATCCAAGTTTAAACTACTCTGTATCTTTCCACTATGCATCCATTATGTTGTCCGACCACATAACATTGAAAAACTTATTGAATATCGGTGTTTACCCTTAAAAACGGATAACAGTTAAATTTATACACGGTTTTAAGGATATGTGGATTATTTCAATACAAGTGACTAATGACGTAGATTAAGCAAATGAAAGACGTGATACATAGCCAAACCAATGATAAGAGTGATCCCGAGCTAGATTACTGGCTCATGAGAAACCTGCCTCCGATTCCGGGCTTGTACTTATGAAGAACAAATGAACAAAAATAAGTACGTTGAATAACAGAGAGAATGCAAATAGATTGCCTTGGTAAGCATGTTACAATGTGTCTCATCAATAATAAGTCTCCCCTTTATATAGTGGAGAATTTTACCATAAGTACAATCCTAAAGAAGGTAAAAACAACTTCCATTTCGCTATTCACTGATTTTCCGCCGATATGGGCCGAGATTCACGCCGCGATATTCGATTGGGCACGGACATCTCAGCCCTTTGTTAGTTGCGTGTAGTTGTCTGGTATTGCTCTCCAAGGTCTCGAGGTTCGAACCGGACTCGGGGGAGGTGATCCTAATGCTACCGAGGGCAGTGTTTTTGCTTGAACTACGATACAGGAGGCTCCTCCCTCTTACTCCGAATACTCACGATCAAGTCCCTACTCCGTTTACCTCACCGGAAAATCGGGATGCTCAGTGGGTTTGATTTTACCAGTATACAGATGTTGATACCTAATTTTTCCCTATATATTTTTCAATATGCAAAATACCTTCAAAATAGCATATGTATGCATATATAAGTATGTCCAAATGTTTTATTATTTTTCATTAATTTTTAAAGGGTTTTAAAATCAATTTATTTCCCTCTTTTATCATTAAAACTCAATAATTATTTCCAAAATTATTATTTTGATAATTACTTTATTGGAATTTTACATTTATGTTAAAATATAGCTAAGGTAATTGTTTGCTATTTGTACAAAATTATTTAGTATTTTTAAGCTAAATTGCATATAATTGCAACATTAGCCCTTTTAAGATTCAATTATATTTTATATTCATACAATTAAGTCTAGTATTTTTAAATTTTTAATTATATGTTATAAATCATTTAGTGCTTTTAATTTATTTTCAGAAATTAATTTACTATTTTTTTTATAATTTTAAAAGGGGGAAATTGACTATTTAAATAGTAGCCCAATTTTATTCCAATTGTAGCCTAATTTGAACCCTAAATCAAACCCAATTTTCCGGCCCAATTTCGTTTAAACCCGACCCCTAACCCAACTAAACCTACTCAACCCTGGATCCCCACCTAACCCTTTAATCCTAGTCGTTGATCATTTAAATCAACCGCCACTATATGCCCTTTCCTTTTTAAACCCCAAACGACCCCTTACCCTACTTCATTTCTCACAAATCGCCGCCTCTGAATCCCTCTTCTCTCTCAACCCTCTCTGAAACCTCATGAACCCTAACTGCCGCCATCTATCCCCACCCTAATCCACCCTAAACCCTGCCTAATCCATGGCCTCTCATGGCCATTGGAGATGTGTAATGACCTCCTATGGCTCCTGGGTGTTTGTTTCTGTGGTTTCATGGCCAGTCCTCGAAGGAATCTGGTCTAGTCCTTGCTCGACTGCTGTTCATGGCTTTTCTCCGGCCATCCACGACCGTTCTCTGGCCATACATGGCCTTTCAAGGTAGATCCTTGTGTTTCCTGGTTAGATCGGAAACTTTCAAGGCCTTTCTCACCTCTTCTGGGTTTTTCGAAACCCTAATCTTTAAGATCTTTTGATTTTCTTTCAGACCTACTTTAGATTTGTACTTGCTATGAATGTTTTAAGTGTTTTCTCGAAAGTTCTTCAACTTTCCTTTCAAAATGACTTTTCGTTAAGGTTTTCCTTTAAGTTTTTCAAAAGATATCTTCTCCGATTTTTAATGTTGTTTGTGATTCTGCCATGTTTTGCTCATGTCGTTCTTCTATCTGAGTTAGCATGTTGAAAACTCTAATTTCTTTTTGGTCTCATTCGAGTTCTGAGACTGTTTGTGAGATGTGTACTTGTTTGATTAAGTTCCTCGTTCTTGTTTGACGTATTTGTTTTACCATCTTTTAAACTCGATTATTGTTGAAAACCCTAGGTCTTTGGGTCTGAGATTGTTTGTTTGAATACTTGACTCGATTTAAGGTTCCTTGTTTTAGACTCTCTTTTTCTTTATGTGATTCATCTGATTCTGAGTTTTACCATCTTTTAAACTCGACCATTGTTGAAACCCGGATTTCTCAAAATGTTTCCTCACTTGTTACTGTGAGACCTATACTTGTTTTGACTATCTTATTCACTTTGGCTATACGTGTGATCCCTAACTATCTAATCTTGTTCAATACCGAATCCTATGCTTATTTCTGTTAATATTGTATGCTGTTTCTTTTGCCAATATGCTTGGCCTCGCATGTCTGATATTTCTGTTCACTCTATTTATATACTGAAGTACAGAAGCATATTTCTTCCTTGATTGACCTTGATTTTGTGACTGATTTCAAAAGCTTTTCTTATATGAGCCCTGATTTCACTCGTCTGTTTAAAATTAATTGATTCCTTTCCCTTTACTGCGATGTTTTACCTTGCTGAATCCTTTCCAAAAATAAGCATATTTTTGTACTCAGACTTGATTGTTCACTGCATGCTTTTACTATCCCTTATATGGCAATAATCAAACTGATTTTTTCCTTATTTGAACATGTTACTACCTGTTAAACAGTGATTCTTTAATTAAAGCGAATCACTTGTGTAATTGATTCTGACTTGTGATTATTTCTATATTTGTGTTAAGGTTTTACTTATTACCTTATTCTTCACCTGTTTTCAGATTTATAAATACCCACTTTCTTTTCTTTCAAACACGAACGAACCATCTGAGTTCAGAACACACACTTCACTCAAAACTCTCTCTTTTTTCTCTACAACTATTTATGCTACTGCTTTGCCTAGCCGGCTGAAAGCCAAGGCTAGGCTGTGGAAATTTGCTTACTTTTTCTTTCTGCATTTTGCTTCTTACTGCTATGTCCTAGTTAATCTTCAAGCATCAACAACAACATGTTTCCTTAGTTGTTTCAGTTTCCTTCACTCTTGCCTGCTTTTGCTTGTGCAATCAAGTTATATTACTAAGAATGCTATAATCTGCTCCCTCCCCTTCTATATTAATGTTTTCCCTTATGCATGTACTCTATCAGTCACTTGTTATATGATTTGCTGACTTATGAATCCCAAACCCCCATATCCCCTATGTACTTGTGTTCTCTGGCTGGTTTGTGGGCATGCCAACATCATCTATTGCTGTGCATGTCCCAAACCTAACCCCTTTTGTGCAATTACCGATTCTGTGTAATTTAAATTTTACTACTACTGTTTTCAGATCACCCTTACCCCCTTACTATTCTCAGCCCAGTTTTAAATAAATCTCTATTTTTGCACTTCCACTACACTCTTAGAACTTAGGTTCTGCCCCTTTTGTGTGAACCTTGCCTTGGGACCCATGAGCTCCCCCTGAACTTGGACACATAAGGGTTGGCCCTTCCACACTGCACTCATCTCTGTCTGGTTATACAAACCTGGGTGTAAGCACTGCCCGGGATCCCTTGAGACCTTTAGGAAACTTTGACACACCCAGGTCTGAGAAAGGTTTTGAAACAAGTGGTGCTTGAGGTGGTTTATTCCATAACTTAGAGAGGAAGTCAAGAATCAGGCTTCCTCTTATTATAACTTCTTGTTTTACATTGTTCTAATGTAATTCAGTATTTGGTCTGTAATAATTTGTAACAAATACTGGGGTTGGCTAGTGAAAAGAGGATGGGTAATTATGCATGTTTAGCTATTAGAAGGGTAGAGAACATGCCTATAGGATCTGTTTCTTTAAATTATGCATGTTTTAATTCTACATCTAGATAACATGCCTATAGGACCTGTTCCTTTAAATTCTGCATGTTTCAATTCTACGTAGATAACATACTTATAGGACCTGTTTTAAATTCTGCATGTTTTATTACCACACTTAGACACCATGCCTATAAGATCTAAACGACTATAATTAGACATCATGTTCATAAGGTTAAAATTAGTGTTTTTTCATATAAATCATGCCTATAGGAATTTCAAGTAAATCCTACCTGCTTCGTTTCACGTTTAACCAGATATCATGTCTACAGGAATTAAAAATCAGCAATAATAGAGATCATGCCTATTGGATCTAAAACCAGTCTAGTTTAAAATTAGTTTGACTCATACTATTCTGAACTAGTTTTAAACAACCTACTCCTTTTATTAATACGGTTTAGAAATCATGCCTATAGGATCCCAAATCACTCGTTTAAAACTGTTACTACTTTGCTACACTCCTAATAGACATCATGCTTATAGGATATCACCAACACGCTTAGTCAAGCCTTAGGTGATAACAACGAAACTGAATCCGCCTTTGTTAATTAGTGACTACTACAACCAGCAGGCAGGCCTGATTTGGACTTCTTATCTGAGTTATGTAATAAACTGGTCTGCTTCAAACAACTAAAATTAATGTGTTTGAGTCATGCTACTTATGTGCTTTACTTGAGGAGGTATATATGAGCCTTTTGGTTGCTTACATGTTTTTCCCTAATATGCAGTCCTATGTGTTTTGAATGTCGCCTTAGTCTTTTACCTTTAAAACCTAGAGTCAGCCTAAAATCCTCCCTCTTATAGGAATAATAGTCCTCAGTTCCTCGGGGACTGATAAGAATGGGA